TCCTCTTATGTCGTTAACGTTTATTCCACAAGCTCTTATCACTAGCGTGAATCAGACTTGGGATATTGCGTCGCAAAAAAGGGCTAAATCTTAGTTTTTTATTGTTTGCATTAATAACATCTGATGTTGGATTAAAATGTTATTACTTTTGGTTTTGCCATACGTTGAAAGATGAAAATTGTCTCGAGATTACATTGATTGAGGCATACATTGAGGCACAAGAAGTGCCTCAAACTGTCTGACAAAATAATACAGCCGGAATGGGATCGTATTTTATAACACTAGTGGCGTTAACGGGATTTTACAGCTGTCAAACTCTTCTCTTCTAATTTTTTTTTTTTCCATCGTTTTCCATCCTCAGAAACGAATAGTGATCCACACCCTGATTCGAGATGAAGTAATTTAGAAAAGAAACGTTTGTAAACTTAAGTTGATGACCTTCTGGCTTGTAAGGTTGTTCTTTCTTCACTTAGCCAATGGTTTATTTGTCCACAAATCTTGCAAACTTGCGTAAGAACTTAATAGAAAACTATGAATTAAAAGGCAACGGCATATGGCAAGTGGAAACTTCGTGCGAAAGAGTCGTTTCAAGCAGCAAAAAAAAAAAAAAATCGCTTTTTTCATGAGTTTGTGTACACTTCATTATGATAATAATCGTGACGAATATTCTAAAAGCTTGGCTGACATGACAGTAATTTGTTTTTTAACTGTTACGCACCGCTGTCGTTTAAACAGACTTATTTTCGCCTGTTAAAATCGATGTAACTTCTTTTCTTTATTGGCGATAAAAAAAGCTTGGGAAAAGATCCAAAAATAATATTTTTGGGACCTAGTTCACATTGCGTGACGTTTCAGAACTTTTTCTTTATTGAATGTTGAAATAATCATTCTACCCCCAAATGCCACGTCATTGAATGGGAAAACACCAAACCCGGTAGTCCCTTATGTGTTTTTATTTAAGGAGTTTTTTCAATTGTGGAATTGTTTTGACATAGAATACAAAAGACTTACATTAGTCAAAATTGGCTCCAATGGCTAAGAATCTACGTACCCCAAGGGAGGTTAATGAGTAACATTAGAAATAATCATCCCTAGTTAGTATCTGGATTTTTCTCTTCTTCTTTTTGTTTTCTTTTTCCGTCGTTCTTTCATTTTGTTTTGATCAATGTTTCAGAGGAATTACTCTTTTAAAACTCCACAAAACAAAAGGCTTGTAATGGGCACATTTCATGCACAAATGATGTTTGAAGAAGATAGTAAACATGAAACGGTTATGAATCTTATTATCCAGCCTAATTTTGATTAATAATAAATGACGGTAAGAATAAAACTTCGCTGTTCAAGAACATAGCAGTGCCAGAGATGGGCAACTGATGTTTGCTACATTTTACTCACTTTATTGAAAATATTTTTAAAAAGCAAACTACCGTGATAGTGGGTTAAGAAGGTTTTTAA